ATAGATAGATAGATAGATAGATAGATAGATAGATAGATAGATAGATATAGATACACACACACACACACACAAACACACACTTGTCTAATACAATTGTTATTAGTCCATATACATTTCTAGCACATCGTATAACTATCATGGTTTTTTTTTAAACGTACTCTATTCTGTAAAAGTATACTTAAAGGTATGGCCAAAAAAACCTGCTAAACCAAATAATTGTGAGGCAGCTAAGAAGTTCTCAATTTCAGCAACTCAATATATTTAGGGGTAGCTTGGAGGGAAGGTTATTTAAATATTGAGGGTTGGGTTAGTCTAATGCTAGCTAAAATATGGGTTACTTTGCATGGAAAGTGGATGCTGTCTCTTTAAACATTAAAACAGGGTTGTCCACCTTGGCAACTTTAAAAGTTGTGGACTTCAACTCTCAGAATTGCCCAGCCAGCATAGATGGCTAGGCAATTCTGGGAATTGAAGTCCACAAGTCTTAAAGTTGCCAAGGTTGGAACGACCCTGCATTAAAACATTGAGAAGGGCCAAAGTTGTACATCAGCCAAATAGTTGCTGTTTGCCAGGTTTTTCTTGTTGCCTCAACACTTCCTGTTCAGCTTGACCTTGTCTTGCTAAGATATCTCTAGAGGCCCCTGGTGAGATTTTCAGAGAGGTCCGCTACTTATTTGTGCTGGAGATACAACCTCCTCAACTTCTGAGCTTTGATTCTACAAGGACAAGAGAAGGAGGTTTGGATGGACCACAGCTAGTCTTAGAAATAGAGGAGAGTTTGAGGAGAAGTTGAGGAAAGTAGAATCTTTCAATATTGGAAAGGATCCCCGAGAGGTGCTGCTTGTTCATGGATTATTGATTGACTGTATTCCCATCTCCAAGATGCAAAGGCCTCCTTTCTATATGGTATGTTTTTCCTTTTATTGAAGATGGATAAGATTAGCATTATAATTGTACTTTACGGCCCTTTCTAAGCAGTTTATTCAGTCAGTATGTTCCCCCTAGGAATCTGGGCCCTCTTTTTACCGACCTTGGAAGGATGGAAGCCTGAGTCAACCTTGACTCCTATCAGGATCGAACTGGCTGTGGGCAGAGTTAGCTTGCAATACTACATTCTAACCACTGTGCCACCACGGCTCCGTTGTACGGAGTACAAGTGGGGTTGGTCCTAGTCAGATTGCAGATATGAAATGTGGAGAGATATGATGGAGTCCAAGATGCCGTATGTACGTCAAGTGTCAGTGAGTTAAGCATTATAAGCGGATCTGATTTTACTGCTTATATTGGTTGGGTTGAGCTTGTTTTCACTGCGTCCCCATCTTTTCTTACCTGGCAGCCCATCGCCCACTTCAGGTGTCAATCGTTTAGCCCAGGGCCACATACCAGCCAGCCCAAGGATGGAGAAAGGAAGCCCAGGTGTCACCAGGAGTACTTGGAGCAATTCTCTACCCAGGAACGGTATGGCTAAGGGTTTATATGGAACAATGTGGGCATGTCAATTCAACAATTCAAGGGGATCAATATACTTATACCCCCAAAATAAGACCAGATCTTATATTAATTTTTAGGGCTTATTTTCAGGGAAATATTGCATCAAATGCATCCATCTGGCTGATGATCTTAACTGGGACTTATTTTTGGAGCAGGGTTTATATTACGAGCATCCTGAAAAAATCATACAAGGGCTTATTTTCCGGTTGGGTCTTATTTTCGGGGAAACGCTTTATATTCTCTGGAAAATGAGTGTGCTTTGCCACCTTCTGTAACCGAGTGCCAATTTGGAAGAAAAGGCTGGAAGTAAAATGGATCTTCTCAGATCTCATATAGGAAGTGTATTGTCCAAATTGGTGGAATAGTTCATGTTGTACATCTTCTGGACAGAAAAGAGACTCGGCGACACTTAATTCCCATCTATGTAAGTGGACAACAAAAAATACTTTAGAATCTTTCTTGCTAGGTTTCTTAGTGTATGTTTTTTTAAAAAAAAAAACTTCTGAAAACATTTATAGTATATATTCTTTCTTAATCTCCCTTCTAAAATAATGCACTATATATATTTTTCTACGAGTTGCACTCTCTTTAGAGATACAAATATGGAACATTATTTCCTTAAGAATACGTCAAACTAAGAATAAGCCCTTTTTTTTCCCTTTTGGGCTGAAGATTGTCCTTTCCTCTCCACCTCCTCATTACAGTTTGACTCACATATTAATGCTAATATGATGCACATTGCAGCTAAGTCAGCAAATCCCTGGGCTGAAGCATCCAACTCTGGAAATTTGCCATAATATCGTGGGTGGTCAGCTATTTTGTTGTGTTGTGGATAATTCTTGTTAAGAAAGATGAAATACACTGAAGGGTCTCCTAAAATGTTTTCCTTTGCTCCTTGATCAATATAGATTGAGTGTAGTGACACAAAAGCATTTTGAGTAGATGGATAATTTTTTTGATGCTGGGGAACCAAGTAGGCTTTTGGAGAGCAATCAAACACGCTTCCTTTCTGTTGCTGTTTCGGGAGCTGTAGCCAATCTCAAGTCACTCATCTCTCAGAAAACAAATCGTAGAATTGCTCCCAATTAATCCTTTTAGGTCCTGCCAACATGCTCTGTTCCATTTCATTTTACTTCCAGTTCCCGCCCTCTTTTCTGGGCCAATGAACATACTTCCCAAAAAAGAACTGAGCTACCCACCGATCTAAACTTGCTCATTTGGGTGGCTGTGTTTTGTGTGTGTATGTGTTCAAATTAAAAGAATGTGTAAAATAAGAGAAATGGGGTAAGAGAGTAGTTTGCTCTAAGGGAAGTATTGTGGATTGGTTGGAGATGAGTATCTCTACTCAGCATAATGTGGATTTGCTGTTCCTTGCAAAGTCTCTTGTTGGAATTTCGTTTTATATGATTGGTTGAAAGTTAGCTCTCCTTTTTCCTTTCAATTCAAAAGATTCACCTTATTTTCCCTTATTTTCTTCATCCAGATCCTCTGAGACTCCCTGGGCAAAGTCCCTTTCTTGACTCTTCGGAAATCCTTCTTGATAGTCCTCCCAAGAGAGATGAGAAGAAGGTGAGATGCACTTTCCACAGAAAAAGGAGGCAGACTGAAGTTTTGTGGGCTGTCAGTCTTTCTCAATCCAGCTTCTTCTAAATCAGGCACCTCCAAACTTGGCAACTTTAAGACTTGTGGACTTCAACTCCCAGAATTCCCCAGCCAGCATGAAACCCACAAGTCTTAAAAGTGGCCAGATTTGGAGACCCCTTTTCTAAATACATGGGGATAACTTCTACAACCTGAGGTGGACATCTGAAGGGCCACGAATTTTCCAACCTCTTTTAACCTGTTTTATTATCGTGAACTAAATAATAACTAAGCCATATTTGTACCACTGGTTCATTTGCTTTAATTTTTCTGCTCTCACTGAGAGAAAAAGTAAATTGATGAGAGACTTGCCATCCAGATATTTTGCTTTCCACACGTTGCCAGTTTACCAGAATACAAGTGTGCCTCTCCGTCCCTGATTGACAGGGTAACTTTAGGTCTTGGAGAGGAATTGTAAAACTTTGTGCAGGAATTTGGCAAACACAAAACCTCCCTTGCATCATTGAGTGTTTGTCAGCCTCTCAAGAATAAGTGAGATTAGGGCGTGAATTAAACATTACAAAAGAGCTTAGATTGGGAGGAGCCTCTGTGGCGCAGTGGTTAGAGTGCAGTACTGCAAGCTACTGCTGCAGCCAGCTGCCACAATTTGGCAGTTCAAATCCCACCAGGCTCAAGGCTGACTCAGCCTTCTATCCTTCTGAGATGGGTAAAATGAGGACCCAGATTGTTTGGGAGAAAGAGGCTGACTCTGTAAACTGCTCAGAGAGGGATGTAAAGCACTATAAAGTGGTATATAAGTCTAAGGGCTATTGCTATTGCTATTTTCCATTGCTTAAGGTACCTGTTCCACTTCCAGTATTCTATAGGCCCCTTGATGGTGAACCTATGGCACGCCATTTGTGCTGGCACATCTTTTTCAGCCTCCCAGAGGCTTGGGGAAGGCTTCTGCAGACTTTGCAGGCCAAAAACTAGGCCCATTTCGTCACTTCCAGTTTTTCCGGAAATACCAGAAGTGATGAAACAGGCCTAGTTTTTGGCCTGCCAAAGCCTGCAGAAGCTTTCCTCAAGCCTCTGGGAGGCCAAAAAAGGACTCAAACCGGCAAAAAATCAGCTGTGGGGCGCCGTGCAGGTAAGAGGGCGACGGGGTGGGTGAGTAGGGTTTGCGTGAGTATGCATAGGGGGCGTGGAGGGGCGCGCATTGCCTTCTGGGTACTGGCACACAAACGCGAGCATGCAAGCGCGCGCACAATTTTTGGCACAGGAGCCCCAAAAGGTTAGCCACCACTGCTCTAGGCCTTACCAGCATGCTTAGTTCTCGATTTACAATAGAATAGAATAGAATCCTTTATTGGCCAAGTGTGGTTGGACACACAAGGAACTTGTCTTGGTGCAAATGCTCTCAGTGTACATAAAAATAAAAGTTTATGCACAATTATTACAATTATGTAAAGTTTATAGTTCATTTAGTGACCGTTTGAAGTTATTAAAGCACTGAAAACAGTAACTTACGACTGTTTTTCACTCTTATGACCATTGCAGCATCTCCATAGTCACAGGAACAAAATCTGGATGCTTGGCAACTGATTCGTACTTATGACGGTTGCAATGTCCCAGGGATCACATGATCCCCTTTTGTGACCTTCTGACAAGCAAAGTCAATGGGGAAGCCAGATTCACTTAACGACAGCTTATTACTAACTGGCAGTGATTCTCTTCACAAACTCATTTCACAACTGTTTCGCTTAGCGACAGAAATGTTGGGCCTGGTTGTGGTTACCCATGGAGGACTACCTGTAGTTGTGTTCTTGACTGTTTTTTTAAAAAATGTTTTACTATACTGGCGAAGTACCCGGTTTCTCTTTATACCTCAGTGCCCTTTAAATGGGTTTTGGACTCTGTGTCTGCTTTTAACTTATTTCTCTTCCTCCTGACAGATGAAAGCTGCTCGCCTCAAATTTGATTTCCAAGCAGAGTCGCCAAAGTAAGTAGCGAGATCTGGCAGCCTTTAGCAGTCGTATCATATTTTAGCGCCTTGGCACCGTTGCTACGCTGGTGAATTGTGATTGTTGTAGCACAGAATTGAGGCCCAAGGTCGCTCTTGAGCTGTTGAAAGCCTTCGGCATGGCCACCAGAGGTTTCTAAAGGTGGTTACTAAATTATAGCATTTGATATAATTGGATATAGCTTTCAAATATAGGCCCGAACACAATGAATTGTACTGAAATTTTAAAACGGTAAATGAAGTCAATATCTCAGGGGCTGCCCCAAAGAAGAGGGAGTCAAGCCATTCTCCAAAGCACCTGAGGGCAGGAAAAGAAACAATGGGTGGAAACTAACTAAGGGGAGAAGCAACTTAGAACTAAGGAGGAATTTCCTGACAGTCAGAACAATTAATCAGTGGAACAACTTGACTCCAGGAGTTGCGAATGCTCCAACACTGGAAGTTTTAAAAAAGATGTTGGATAACTATTTGTCTGAAGTGGTGTAGAGTTTCCTGCCTAGGCAGGGGGTTGGACTAGAAGACCTCCAAGGTCCCTTCCAACTCTGTTATTCTGTTCTTTTGTTCTGCTTCAGCTATCACTTCTTGGAGTGTGGCCCCAGGCAATGTCTATTATGGTCAATTGTGGCCCTTTGTCAGGAAATGTATTGTGTTGTATCACAGTGAATGAACTACTTGGTGCATTGCAGATGCAATTTTTTTTTATTGTTGGAAGCTACCCAGAGTCACTGCGAGTGAGTAGGGAGTCATATAAATGTTCTTTAATCAATAAATATTCAGAGGCGAAAGGTGGGGTTGAAATCGAATAAACCAAACAGAGAAAAGACCGTGTGTTTTCCAAGTGCAACACGATTCCTCACCCCATTCTAGGTCACATGGTCTTCTTATGTGAAGTTTTGGCCAAATCCTTCAACTCTCACTGTTTTTCTGCTTGAGTGGAGAATGTGTTCTCGAACACACCCTCCTCTCCTCCGCAGAATATTTCCTGGAGCAACGTAGCTTTGAAAAAAAAAAAGCCACAGCTACATTCTTTGGACCCAACGAAAGGATCGACGCAAAAGGCTCGATTTGTCTCAATCATCATGGCATTAAGGCATTCACCTGAGAGCAAGAAGTGGCTGGTACAAACCCAGGGAGTGGCTTGAAGAGACCCGGGATGGAGGTTTGCTCTGAAATAACTTTGAACAGGGGTCCTTATGTGTTACCTGTTTGTCTTTCAGAGAACTGACCCTGCAGAAGGGGGACATTGTGTACATCCACAAAGAAGTAGATAAAAACTGGCTTGAAGGAGAACACCACGGCAGGGTGGGCATTTTCCCTGCTAATTACGTGGAGGTAAGCTTCTGGGGCCATCGGGACTTTTTGGCTGCCCCGGTAAAATTGAAATAGGTTTTCGTATACCTATACAGAAGAGAGAGGAGAAATGGGGGGAAGGGGGTAACTTTTTAAGAATTCAGGATCCCCACTTGCTGAAGGGCAAAATTAGTAGTAAAAATCTTGTTTTGTTTCGCCATGCTGGATGTTGACAAACATACCTTCTATATTTACGTTTCTATTATCATATTATTAAATTATGTTTCTATTATTCACCTAGACCAAGGGTCTTCAAACTTGGCAAGACTTCAACTCCCAGAATTCCTGAGCTAACATGACTGGAGAAGGAATTCTGGGAGTTGAAGTCCACAAGTCTTAAAGCTGTCAAGTTTGAAGAGCCCCCGTCTAGACCTTTTAAGGCATTATGAATACTGCAATTATTCTGGAATAGAAGAGTTGCTGGCAGCTTTGGAGCTGTTAATTTGCATTGTTGTGGTCTCTTAATGAGTACCAGTGTTGTGTCATGCATTGTAGAGCCAAAGGCCACAGTTAGTCTCTGAATAAGCTGGGCCTGGACAAATGATAAGTGTGATTGAATTTAGATGTGATAAAATTAGTCAATGGCACGAAATAATTGTTCTGATTAGCCCATGTTTTGAAAACCATTTTCTTTTTCTGAAATATACTTCAATGAAAACTTTGGGTGACCTCAAGTGGTACCCAAAATCCCTTTAGGGAGATTTCATTCATTTTGCATCACTGGCCTATATATGAGTAGCAAATGAAAGATCCTTTCATTAAGGCTATTTGAATGTAGGCCTTGACCCATGGCTCAATTATTCCTCTGTCTTCCATTGGCGTGGAGACAAAGTCAGGGCACCAGTATTAGATGTGGGGAATATTGTGATTCCAAGATGGCATCAGAAAACATCTTTAGTACAGATTTTCTTTGTTGGCAACAGATAAAATTGAGGTATGTTAATCCACATAATGCTTACTTATTACTGGTGTGTTTTGGAGGGGGTGGGAATAATGGAACATATGTTTGTTATAAATGTGTAAGTTTGCATAAGATTTATAGGTAAAGGTTTTCATAATTAAAATGTTATTGTTATTTTGAATTATATTCCAAAATTCTGGAATCTGACCATTTTTAGTTTTTGAAGCCATTTTTCCCAACTGTTGAAAAATTATATGATATGTTTCCCTTTGGAATAGATTTCATAATGTTATGACAATAGATAAACCTTTATGTGTGGTTCCTTCAGGTGTTCCTAGCCCACAGTCCTCTCCCTTAGCATTTTATTTATTCTCTTGCTTCTTTCTGGATCTGTTTCAGGCCTGGCACCTTTGCCTGTGTTGCTTCCTTGCCCATTATTTTGTCTTGGGAGCTGCTCAAATGGGGGTAAAGGGAGTAAAGGCAGATATACCAGCCAACACAAAGTCCCAAACTCAAGACTCTCTGCCTTCCTGCTTCAGTGGCCTGATTGGTGACTGATTTCCCCACCGCTGGCTAGAGAGAATGGAAGAAAAATGAATCTTACCTATCGTGAGATAAGGCAAATCAGGTCGGCAGAATCCAACAGTGACTCAGAATAGATGCCGTAGTGTAGAGATATGTTAGAGGTTGGCAATGAGGACAGCAAACATGCATTGTCAGACCCAGGAAACCAGAGCTACTCAGGAATAGCTTAAGGTAGCAATTTAGTCGACTTCTGCCTATATTACAGGGATTTCAGGGGCTAAGACGCTGAGTTTGTCGATCAGAAAGGTCGGCGGTTCGGTGGTTCGAATCCCTAGCGCCACATAACAGAGTGAGCTCCCGTTCCTTGTCCCAGCTTCTGCCAACCTAGCAGTTCGAAAGCATGTAAAAAAATGCAAGTAGAAAAATAGGGATCACCTTGGTGGGAAGGTAACAGCGTTCCGTGCTCCTCTGGCATTTAGTCATGCCAGCGACATGACCACGGAGACATCTTCGGACAGTGCTGGCTCTTTGGCTTTGTAATGGAGATGAGCACCGCTCCCTAGAGCCAGAAACGAGTAGCACATATGCGCGAGGGGAACCTTTACCTTTTAACTAAGAAAACAGCTGTTGTTCTGATGTTCAGGAACAAAATCGGAGCAGGCCTATGTCCTGGACAGATGACAAAAGTGTCGCACACACAGACATTTTCATACTTTCGCTGCCAATGATGTGTTCCAGTAAAGGTGCTTGATGCTCAGGTGAGCTCTTTCTCTAAGGAACCTGTATCCCAGATTAAAGCCATAACCCTGTTGTTGCTGCTGCTTCCTTTTTCAACACAGGTCCTGCCTCCAACCGAAATTCCCAAGCCCATCAAAGTGCCCTCCCTCCAAGTCTTGGAGTATGGGGAAGCAGTGGCCCAGTACAACTTCAAAGGAGACTTGGCGGTAGAGTTGTCCTTTCGAAAGGTATCGAAGTCCACATATTAGCAGAAACATACATTCTTACTCAGAGTGGAGCCAGCCACCAAAAGGCTTCGGAGCCTCCTCCCGTGGCTTGTCTGGGCTGCAAGCCAGTTCATTCCTCTCCCACCGATGTGCGGCTGGTTGGCTGTCTCTGCTTCTCATAAATGGATCTCTGAGGCAGCCAGTCATATTTTAGGGCCTCTAGAAAAAAAGGCAAGAGGCACCTCCTGTGGCGATGGAACAGTGTCATAAATCATGTACTGCCACTTTTGAACATCAATGCTGAAAACTGCTTTCATGTTTAATTCAAAGAGACCTAGCAATTAGCAGCTTCTGGAGAAAGGACAGAGGTTGTCTGTTTGCAAGATCAAGTTGGTTGTTTAGTTGTTGAACAAATGATTTGCTCCAGGGAACTTATGATTTTATAAAGCTTAAGAATATCTATAACAATCATATTTGAGAGGAGCATTCTCCTCCCCACAGCTGTGGGGGTCTGGGACATTGTTGACCTTTTGGAGAAAAGAAAATGTGGTGAAAAAGTAAATAAATAAACTGAGGAAATAGCAATAGCACTTAGACTTATAGGCTTATATGCTTCACAGTGCTTTACAGCCACCTGTAAAGCAGTTTACAGAGTCAGCCTATTGCCTCCAACAATCTGGGTCCTCATTTTACTGACCTTGGAAGGATGGATGGCTGAGCCAACCTTGAGCCTGGTGAGATTCGGACTGCCAAATTGCAACCAGCCGGCAATCGGCAGAAAAAGCCTGCAGTACTTCATTCTCACCACTGCGCCACCATGGCGAAAGAAAATGTGAAAAAGTAAATAAATAAATGGAGTAAATAAATAAACTGGTTGCTGTTACTCAACCGGTCAAAAGGCCACAGAGACAAGTATTGTAGGGTAACAGGTGGCCTGGTTCAGAGATCTTTCAGATGTATTCAAGATGTTGTGCTGTGAATTAAGGAGTCATTGTTGCTTTAATGTTGTACACCACCCAGAATTACTGCTGTTCCCATCCTACACCCCCATATCCCACTGATGATAAGGGAGGCCGTAGAAATGCACATACGCACACACATCACACAAACAAATGAATATCATACCTATTGTTGCCCGGAACAAGCTGGGTGGCCTTTAACTTCAAAGTGGTTGTTGAGAAGGACAGACAATCTCTTCTTGGGTGTGTCTTTCAGCCTCGGGACTTTACACGCTCCCACGGTATGCTAACTTTTTTTTTTCTTTTCTCTGTTGCCAGGGTGAACATATCTGCCTTGTCCGTAGGGTAGACGAGAACTGGTATGAAGGTCGCATCTCTGGCACAAACCGCCAGGGTATTTTTCCAGCCAACTATGTCCAGGTGGTGAAAGAGCCAAGGGTGAAGAATTCGGAGGAATATCCTTCCTCCCCGGGCCTCCCGGGCCATGCCAGCTCGTCCCCCCAGGCACAGGCGCCCAGTCTGGGCAGTAGGTGGCAGTCTGAGACTTCCCCTTCAAACCTGCCAAACGCTCTGGCACCAGACCTGCTCGCCTCCTCTTCCTCCTCTGCCTCTTCTGGATTCACATTTCCCATCTCTCCAAAGTTTGAAAACCCCGAGACCATGACTCACAGAATCCAGGGCGCACTCAGAGCTGGCTCTTTCAGTCCCCAGAGTCGAAGCCCTGGGAAAATGTCCAGTGGGAGCCCCCAGCCTCTCACATCTGTCCAGATGAAGGACCCGCCACGCCCTGTTCCTCCTCTGTTGACTTCCCAAGCACGGCCTTCCATTCCGCCACAGGTGAGATGCAGTGGTGGGATTCAATTTTTTTTAACTACCGTTTCTGTAGATGTGGCTTGGTGGGCATGGCAGGAGAAGTTTACTGCAAAATCCCCATTCCCTCCCCACCCCACTAACCTGCTTTCCAGCTCCGTTCTCCTGTACAGGGCAACCAACGAAGACCCAGCCAATCAGCTGGGACTCAGAAGGCGGAGAATAGATGGGGGCGGGGCCAGTCAGAGGTGGGATTTGCCAGTTCTCTGAACTACTCAAAATTTCCGCTACTGATTTTCCAGGACTGGTCAGAACCTGCTGAATACCCCCTCTGATGAGATGCTGTTCCCACGCCTCCGTTTCTCATGTATGGTGTAAGAGACCAAGCAGAATTTGTATATCCCAGGGCTTAAATATAATAAGTGGCTGTTTGCTGGCCTGTGTCCTTCCTTTCACCCCAGGCAATCACTTAGCATTCTCCTCTGAATTACAAAAGCAGATTTTCCACTTTCATAATGTGGGGCGTGCATGCAACATAACAATGTGAAAAAAAAAATTTTTTTTAAAGGGATGGGGCTCTGGCATGGTGCCACTGTGCCAATGCTGGCATCGCTCTTGAGTTTTCTTGATCCCTTCTCCTTGGATCTCACGGTCACAGGCTTAATTCATTGCAATGGTGGAAATATCCTTTATACAGCATCACTTTAGGCCAGGGCCTTCCAAACTTGGCCACTTTAAGACTGGTGGACTTCAAGTCCCAGAATTCTCCAGCCAGCTGGAGAATTCTGGGAGTTGGAGTCCACCAATCTTAAAGTGGCCAAGTTTGGAGACCTTTGCTTTAAACCATGTGGGACATTAATATCCTCCTTGTAGGGCTTGGCAGCAACCCCAAAGAAAGCCAATCCAATCCAGAAAAGATTCTAGCGTCTTGAAATGACTCATGGAAACTGGAAGGACAATCAGGCTTAATATAGTCCTCAACTTAGGACAATTGAACCCCCCCCCCAAAAAAAAAATTCTCTCGCTAAGCGAGACACGTGTTCAGTGAGTTTTGCCCTCTTTTGCTACTTTTCTTGCCGCAATTGTTCAGCGAATCCCTGTACTTGTTAGTTTTAGTAACACGGACGTTAAGTGAATCTGGCTCCCTGATTGACTTTGCTTGTCAAAAGGTCACAAAAGTGAACCCAGGACACTGCAATACCGTCATAAATAAGAGACAAGCGTCAGAATTTTGATCCCGTGAACTCCGTTCCGAAGAAGTGCCCTTTGAAGAGCTGAAAAGGCTTCTCGGGCGAAAAGCGAAACATCTTCAAGGAAAAGCAAAGTCCAGTTGACTTTTGAAAAAGCACTTTTGGGAGCTTCTGACTTTAGTGGTGTCTTTCAGTAGCTATGATGACCCAGAGTGTAACACAAACGTAACAAAATCCAAAACGTAAATAAGTGTCTTTTAATGCCTCCAACTTGGCCCCACTGTTCAATAATTCTCAGTTGGAGATAAAACTGATTCAAAAATAGTCTTCAAAAGAAAGCAATGCAGTCCGAACTTAATGAGCAGATAAAGGTGAAATAAAAAACCAAAACAAACTACAATGAAGAAAGTTCCACAACAGACCAGGATAACTGATTACCAAATTCAAGCAGATAACAAGGCACAATCTGTTGGAAGGACACCAACCAAGATAACTTCAGCCCAAAATAAAACACGCTTTACTTCTGGCAACTCTGTGTTTTAACCTTCTCTCTTATATACTATTCTCCCCAGCTGCAACCAATGAGAGGGATCAGGGCCGCTTCCTCTCTCGTAAGCCAAGTTGTTGCCTTCTCCATTCCTCCCTGCGTGTCCTAGGATGAAGAGGGGATGGGCCTGGTTCTTCCTCTGACTGCCCAGCCGGCCTCTGCCCTTCTCCAGCCTCCTCCACAACCTCCAGAGCCACACCTCCACTCCCTCCCTTCCCTCTCCCGCCCAAGCCAGGGGTTGGACTACAAGACTTTCAAGATCCTTTCCAACTCTGTTATTCTGTACAGGTAGTCAGTTCTCAACTTACAACTATTTATTCAGTAACCAAAGTTACAACGGCACTGAAAACTGTGGCTTACGGCCATATTTAGCACATACAAGCATTGTAGCATCCCCGTGGTCACATCATCAAAATTCGGATGATTGGCAGCTGACCCTTTTGCGGCCTTCTGACAAGCCAAGTCAGTAATGAAGCCCAGTTTACTTGACAATCGTGCGAGTAACTTAATATCTGCGGTGATTCACTTAACCAAAAAGGTCACACCATGCGGCAAAATTCACCCAACAGTTGTCTTCTCCTTAGCAACAGGGAAGCTTTGGTTCGATTGTGGTCGTAAGTCCAGAACTACCTGCATTCTGCGTTGAATTTTCCTGGGCTCTTCCTCCAGGATTGCCTGGAATTGGTATAGATCAGTGATGGCGAACCATTTTGGCATGGTGTACCAAAAGCTTGTGTGCCGGCACCCACAATGCAATGTGCTCTTTCCCCCTCCTGTGTATGTGCGCGCAGCACCCCTGAAATACCGGAAGTGACAAAACAGGCCCGTTGTTTTGTCACTTCCAAAGGCTGCAGAGCCCAAGGAGGGTGAATATGGCCTCTCCAGAGACCCCGCTGGAGGCTGAAAACAGGCACTTCCGGTATTTCCAGAAGGCCCGTTTTTCTGCCCCCCAAGGCTGCAGCGGCTTCCCTCAAACCTCAGGGAGGCCGTAAAAGGCCTCAAACAGGCCGAAAATCAGCTGCGAGGCACGCGCATGCGCAGTGCAGGTAAGTTTGGCTGGAGCTCCCGTGCCTGCACAAATGGCTGCCATCGGTTCGCCATTACGGGTATAGGATCTCCTGCTTCAGTAGGAGGTTGGACTAGATGTCCCCCAAGGTCTCTTTCCAGTTCTATTCTGATTCAGGTCAACCTTCCCTCCCTCCCACCTGTGTTTTATTACTTTCTGCTGCGCCGTGTTCTCATCCCGGTTCCTTTTTTCTTTTCTTTTTTTGGCAGAATTCCGCCCTGGAAGCGGCGTTTTCCCCCACTTCAAAGCCGCGGAGCCCCCCCCACGCCTCCAGAGACCAGTCCCCCTCCGGCATCCAGTGGACTCCGTAAGCCAGGCCGATTCGCAGTGTCGGGGAAGGGAGAGCTGGGCTCCTGCTGGCAGCTGGCCAGCCCCACCTTCCCCCGGAAGTGACCCACAGGGAGGGGAGGACGGAATGGGGGAGGGCTGTAGACAACTCCCCCCCCCCCCCCCCCCCGGGGCCCGGCCTGGACAGTGTCTGGATTGTTCAAAACAAGGGGCCTTTTTCAGAGGGGCTTGCTCAGAGCCTAGGAGAACAGAAGCCGGCTGGCTGCTTCACCGGTGCCAAGCATTGCCAACGCCGGCTTGAAAGGCTGAGGACAGCTCAAGGTTTCCAAGAGGCAGGGTCTATGTCTCTCTACCTCTTCCCCCACCCCAATATTTGGGGAGCGGGGAGGGCAAGGAGATGGCGCGCCTCTGCCCATTTCTTTTCCACGCACGAAACACAGCGTGGCGTCCCTCATCTGGCCTGCCGGCAGAAGCGACTTAAAGTTTATTTCCCTTAGGAAAAGTTTGTAGAGATTCTCAAGTGCTCCACGTCCTGGTTGTCCCAAAGGTGCTTTTTTCAGGAGGCAACTGGACTTTCTGGTTTTTCTTTGAAGATGTTTTGCTTCTCTTCCAAGGAGCTTCTTCAGCTCTGACTGGATGATGGGGGAAGGGAAGGATTTATACTCCTTGCAGACCGCTGGTCATTTGCACCTTTTTAGAGGGTCGTTGAGGCCACTTGGAGGTTTATCTCTGTCCTCGGGGTCACCTGTGTAGTGCAAATGGTTCCTGTAGTCTGCCGTTTTTTTCTTCCTCTGGAAATCCATTCCTACTCCCACACTATTCCAAGGGTGTCCATCCCAAATTGCATAGCTAAAAGTCTGTAGAGATTCTCAGTCCTCCAGGTCACAGTTGACCCAAAGGTGCTTTTTTCAGGAGGCAACTGGACTTTCTTGGGTTTTTTTTTTCTTTTGAAGACGTTTCGCTTCTCATCCAAGAAGCTTCTTCAGCTCTGACTGGGCGGTGGGGAATGGAAGGATTTATATTGCAAAATGCAAATGACCAGCTGCCTGCAAGGGGTATAAATCCTTCCCTTCCCTCATCATCCAGTCAGAGCTGAGGAAGCTTCTTGGGTGAGAAGCAAAACGTCTTCAAAGAAAAACCAGAAAGTCCAGTTGCCTCTTGAAAAAAGCACCTTTGGCATTCCTTTAGGGGAGAAAAAAAAATCTGTTTTAATTGGGGTATAGGGAAAAACTAGTATGTATGTACGTACACAGGTCGTCCTCGACTTATGAACATAATATCGTCAGCCGTGATGGTCACAGAACAAGTCATCGTGTGATTGGCCCCCATTTTACGATCTTTTCTTTCCTTGTGGTGATCATTAAAGCCAACGCTGCAGTTGTTAATCACTAAAAGGCAGTGCATGTGGCCGTAGGAGTGGAGGGATGGTCATCACAACATCGGAACTGGGTTGTAAGTACAGGGGTACCTTGGTACTCATTGTTGATTTGGAAGGCGTGATGAGTGCCAGAAGTGAAGAGCACCAAACAAATATTTCCCCTAAGGAATAATGGAATGGCTCACAAGGCAGCCAATGCCAACAAGTTCCAGCTTGTGTGTCAAGTACTAAACAAACGAGTACCGGGGTGAAATTTTCACATCAAATGCACCGAGTACCAAATTCCGTGAGTTTCGAAGCATTGAGTGCCGAGGTGCCCCTGTACTTTGGGAGAAGGGAGTTTCCGTTGCAGATTCGAATGGTCACTGAGCAAACCTGTCATAAGTTAAGGACTACTTGTATTAGATGTTAAATAGAAGAGAAGGAGACGTCCTCACCCATGGCTTGTGTGCTGCAGGTACCAAGCTCTCTACCATTACCGACCTCAGAACGAAGATGAATTGGAGCTTCAGGAAGGTGATCGTGTAGATGTGATGCAACAGTGCGATGATGGATGGTTTGTGGGTAGGTCTAGATCTGTGGAGACGGGCGCTTCAAAGCAGGCCGGTGGCAGGTTTTAGTAGCTTGCAATTTCTTCCATACCTTTGGAATCAGAGTCTGTCCTCCCGTGCCAAAACTGGCATAAAATCTACATTTGATTTACGTTCCAGTTGGATTAAGCTTAGACATAATGCATGGGGTTATCCTCAGTGATGTGATTTTTTCCTTCCCCTAGTAAGACTTTAGTAGCATCTGCGGATTTCTAGGACTGTATCAGAGGTGGTGTTCAGCAGGTTCTGACCGGTTTTGGAGAACCAGTAGTGGAAATTTTGAGTAGTTCGGAGAGCCGGCAAATGTCACCTCTGACTGGCCCTGCCCCTATCTCTTCTCTACCTCCCATTGACTCCCAGCTGATCGGCTGGGTCTCCTTGGGTTGCCCTGCACAGGAGAACGGAGCTGGAAAGCAGGTTAGTGGGGTGGGGAGGGAAGGGGGATTTTTCAGTATCCTTCCCCCAGGAGTGGAGTGGAGAATAGAGATTTTGCAATATCCTTCCCCTGCCACGCCCACCAAGCCACACCCAGCACACCATGCCCACCAAGCCACGTCCACAGAACTGGTAGTAAAAATGTTTGAATCCCACCACTGGGCTGTATCCAAGACTTTTGAGGTCTACACGTATCCTGTAGCTTCAGATGAGGTGCCTCTGCCTTATTTAACAGAATAACCAAATTAGATCTTGCAGTTCCAACCCTGCTTAGGGGAGGATGCCCTATACCAGGGGTCTCCAACGAGAGAGTTGAAGTCCCGGGAGTTGAAGTCCTCCAGGCTTCAAGTGGCCAAGGTTGGAGTCCCCTGCCCTATACCATGGGTGTCAAATCCGCCATGTCATTTTGCTGCCACGTGATATTTTGAGATGTTTTTCCCATTCGTGGAGCTGGGGTGGGCGTTGGCTGCGCATGACACATCCAGCCCACGGGCTGCCACCTTGACACCCTTGTCCTCCACCATTTCAGACAAATGGTTGACCAATCTCTTCTTCAAAACCTCCGGTGTTGGAAGTGGAGAAGATTTAGGGTAGACCTCCGAAGGCTTGCCTCTAGCCAGCTTTGCATTTAGTTTTAATTGAAGGCACCTGAAGAATGGGATTAAAAGATAGGTGTGGCCAGTCGTATTATGTGACAGTCTCCAAAAGAGATAGTTGTAAACACATTGGTGCTCCTCATTACTAGGCTGCCATTCCTGATCCAGGACCTGAATGAATGGAGAAGATCTCCTGCCATCTCAACCATGTCCTGAGTAGCAATACTACCACACGAAAAACCACTCAAACAGGTTTTATTGCTGATTTAATTTAGCATATTGCATCTACAGAGGTCATGCCATCTCTGATATACAAACCCTAACAAAACTCATTGTACATAGAAAATATAATTTAAATATAAATTTAAATAAAACATTATACTGCATCCAGTTTTGGTCACCACACTATAAAAAAAAAGATGTTGAGACTCTTTCTAGAGAAGAGAAGAGCAACCAGGATGATTAAGGGACTGGAAGCTAAAACGCACAATAAATGGTTGCAGGAACTGGGCCTGGCTAATCTAGGGAAGAGAAGGACCAGGGGAGACAGGATAGCAGTCTTCCAATATTTGAAGGGCTGCCCCAGAGAGGAAGGGGTCAAGCTATTTTCCAAAGTACCCGAAGGCCAGACAAGGAATAATGGATGGAAACTGATCAAGGGAGAGATTCAACCTAGAAATAAGGAGAAATTTTCTGAGAACAATCAACCAGTGGAACAAAAGTTGCCTTCAAAAGTTGTGGGAGCTTCATCGCTGGAAGCTTTCAAGAAGAGACTGGACTGCCATCCGTCAGAAATGGTGTAGGGTCTCCTGGTTGGGTGGGGGTTGGACTAGATGACCTACAAGGCCCCTTCCAACTCTGTTAATCTGTTATCAGATCAATCTTTATTACAGTCACAGAGCAGCAAAGCAAATATACCGTATATATAAAATATGCAGGATGAGAAAGGAATATTGTCTAAAACTTTGAAGCTGGGGCACAAGAGGTAGCAGAGTAAGATATTGTCTTCTTTAGATATCTTTTTTTTTTTTTAATTTCAAGAGGCTGGTCCAGAATCTTCCAAGGGAAAAAAAAAATAACCCTCCGAATCTTGAACCTCTATTCTTTCTTCATGGATCTCTTCTGCGTTTTTTTTTTTTTTCTTTTCCTGCACTAGGGGTCTCTAGAAGGACGCAGAAATTTGGCACTTTCCCTGGGAATTACGTTACTCCCGTGTGACCAGCAGCTCTCTCGTCCATGCGATTGAATCAGAATCTTCTGCTCCTGGGATCTTGCCTTCTTGGAGAAGCACCCCCGATCAACGGATATGAAAGAAAAGAGTATAAAAGACATGGTCTGAAAGCTAATATTCCCCCACCCCGCCCCCAAGATATGTCTTGTTTGCCAGCTGGAGTCTGTACTGCTTGACTTGGTATCTTCTGCACCTTGGCTTCCTCGAAGGAGACGATTACAACCCACTTTCTATTCCCAGTATTTATGAAGCATCACGAATTCCAGCATTCCCATGACAGATGTGGGTTGAACAGAACCTACTGGCCTCTTGTTTCTCTTAAACCTGGGGATTCCATGTTTTGGCCAGTTCTTACAACCGCCTTGGAAAGTGGAGATGAGCATTCTCTACCGTTGAGCCTATGCTAATTCTTCCCTCCAGAAAAAAAATAATCCGTTTTTCTTGAAAGTACCATGGTTGGAAAGCTTGGCCTAGAACCCAAAATCCCAACGCAACGGATGAACGGACTGGGTTACCTGACTTACACGACCTCGGTGTGTGCCCCGTAGGAATCTCTGGGCCTTTCCACCAAGAGATTGTGCCCTTTGCTTAAAGTCTGGGGACTAAGGATTCTCAGTCCTCCAAGTCATGGTTGTCCCAAAGGTACTTTTATTTTTCTTCCCAAAAGGCAACTGGACTTTCTTGGGTTATTTTTTTTTCCTTCCTTGAAGACGTTTTGCTTTTTCATCCATGCAGCTCCTTCAGTTCTGACTGAATTTACTTAACGCAGGCGGATAAGCTGGAGGGTTACCAGCACTCACATTTTTGTATCTTGCCTAACCTCTCTCAAAGCCTCGGGGGCTGAACTTTGATCTGAATCACCCTTCCATACAAAGACTCCGGTAGAACTTTGATCTAAATAACGTAACCGCCGTCCTCTTTCATGCTCAGCCCTGCAGGCAGAAGCACTTTCTGTGGTTTTGGTTTGACACGAGCTGAGGGCAATCGGCTGAAGGGGCGATCAAGATACTTAGAACTGCTCTTGCCGGGGCCACAAAGTGAGCTATCCCTTCCCTTCCCGTTTGAAAGGTTCACTCAACATTTGAGCCCAGGTGCTCCTTGACTTACGACCTGCAAAAGGACGAGCCCAAGGTTTCGTGTTGCTGAGAGAGAAAGTTCTTAAGTGAGCTTTGCTCCGTTTTATTACCTTTCTTGCCACCGTTGTAAAGTGAATCACAGCAGTTAGTAACACGGTCGCTAAGTGAATCTGGCTTCCCAGATTGTCAGGTCACAAAAGGGAGATACATGAAACCTGGGGCTCCTCGTCCGTCATATATAAGAGTCAGTTGCCAAGGGTCTGAATTTTGATCATGTGATCATGAGTGTGATGACCCAAGGGGGGCGTGCCACAAAGGCAACACAGTCAGATAATTGGTAGGAGTCCCTTTATTGGCTCCAACTTTGTCCCCAATGTCCTGGTTACCTTCTGGGTTGGAGAAAAACTCCCTCAGGAACAGCCTTTGGCTGCAGAGAATAAAGTCCAAATGTGGTCAACAAAAACTGTATAAGTCCAATCAAGGCGAAAGGAAGTAATTAGTCCGGCAAGTCAGAAGCAAGAATTCCAGACGTGAAGGCACAGCAATAACTCAACATGGTTGGGAGGATGCCAGGAACGCAGATAAGCAAAGTTAACACAACATAAACTCACATTTGCTCCCAGCAGCTGCCGCACTCAGCATGCACCTCTTTTAAACTCTCTTCCCAGGTGTGGCTAATGAAGGGAATCAGGGCCCTTTCCTCCCTCATAAGCCACACAACCCACATTGCTCTGTTTTCCGTTCCTCCCTGCGTGCCCTAGGATGAAGAGGGGGGGGCTGGGTCTTCCTCTGAACTCCCTCTCCCTTGTTCTACCTCTCCCCTGCTCTGTCCAGCCAGACTTTGCCCTTCCCCAGTTTCCTCTACAGCCAACAGAGCCACACTCCCACTTCCTGTCAGCTGTTCATCTTCCTCCTCAGATTCAGACTCTGAGGGGGCATGATACCCAGGACTCTGCATCCATCGTATATGGGAGTCAGTTGCCAAAGGGCTGAATTTTGATCAAGTGATCATGAAGATGTGGCAAAGGTCGTGTCAAAACCAGTCGTGTCACTTTTTTCAGTGCCACTGTAACTTAGAACGGTCACTAAACGAACTGTATGTAAGTCGAGGACGACCTGTATTCACGATAAGGGATTAAAATATTCTTCCCGATTAGGCTCACCTCACATTAAAAAAAAAACGCCAGCAATTCCTTCTTCTCCTTTGGCGTTAAGGTCCATGTTATTCCCAAAAAATCTTCTCCAAAATCTCGTTCCCATCTCCAGAAGCAGAAGTAAAGGACCAAAACCATCGCTGGTGGCATCTCCTGTACCAGATGTTTCTTATTTTCGCTCTTCGTCTCCCGACTCTTCCCAATCCAGCAATATCTGTCACCTCTGGAGACAGCAGCCAAGGTCCAGGAAACATCTAGAAATGGGTGTTTCTCCAAAACCTTTTGCTCAGATTACTGAGGATAATATTATCGGGGGATGCAAAGTTGTGGCAAAAAGGAAGGGTTGGATGGAGATGGTTTGTGTGTCAAGATACCGAGACCTTTTAAGCCTCCTCCATCCCTGGTGTCCTTTCACAGAGCTGTTGCGTGGAGAGACACAATCTCATGTCAAAACTTGCACATTGGAACCAGTCCAATTTCTCTTCCTAGCAGGAACAATCGAAATTGTCCTTCGCTGGTGGTAGGTAACAGCCTAGCAGCACCTGGTAGATTCGGGCCCAGCATCCTACCTCAGTTAGTCTGTCTTCCTTTCAAGCACCGCTTGCCTTTCACGCCATTTTTATGCTCAGTAATGCTCAGCTGATGCAGAATGATAAAAAAAAATAAAAAAGCTAAGCTGGCTTTGGACTCTGTGTGAATGGTGCTATGCGTGTCTTCTCAGCTGGGGCACTAATCACCCAGAATCTTGGCTAAGCTTGCTCAGATGGAGTGGAGGAAAACAGGAATTTTATCTTGCCCACAATCACAAACGTATTTGTAAGCCGCCGCTGATTTTTCCTGGTTTGAAAGCTACCGATGAAGCCTCTGAAATTTAAGAAAAAAGATTGGGGGGGTCCCTTGGCTTGACCGATTTTGAAGGATGTGCTCCCCTGAAGCTGCCTAGCTTCACTAGAGTTGATCGAAAGGGTGTTTTTAGTTTAATTCTGGGGGGGAAAAAAGAGGCCCGCATCTACAATTGTTCCGTATGGCTTGTCTTGCCAATAAAATCCTCACCGAGCTGAAGCTACCATCCAGTGTGGCGTTTTCTTTGCTTGCCTTTGCAGAGTTTCACCAGCCACAAAAGACAGCAGTGGTTGTGCCACAAATCCGGAAGAAACAGTTGTCTAATATGGCTGTGCTAGGTGGGCAGACCTTTGATGTACAAAGCCACAGGGAATTCTCTTACACAACATTGCGGCTCCTGTTTATTGGAGTGGCACACTAGAAATCTTCTGCGGAATTGGGGGTGCATCAGAGGTGGGCATTCAACAGGTTCTGACCAGTTCTGGAGAACCGGTAGTGGAAATTTTGAATAGTTTGGAGAACCGTCAAATCCCACCTCCGACTGGCCCCGCCAATCCCATCTCTTCTCTGTCTCCCATTGAGACCCAGCTGATCGGCTGAGTCTCCTTTGGTTGCCCTGCACAGGAGAACAGAGCTGGAAAGCAGGTTAGCGGGTGGGGAGGGAATGGGGATTTTGCAGTATATCCTTCCCCTGCCACGCCCACCAAGCCACGCCACGCCCACAGAACCCGGTAGTAAAATAATGTGAATCCCACCACTGGGATGCATGTGTTGGAAGACAACACAGTTGGTGCTCGGCTTACGATCATAACTCGGGTCAGAATTTCCATTGCCAAGCATGGTTGTTAAGTTAGTCGCAGCAGATTTTATGACCTTTTTTTGCAGTGTTGGTTAAGCGGATCCCTTCAGTTGTTTAAGCGAATCATGCAATCGTTAAGCAAATCCGGCTTCCCCCATTGACTTCTTTTATTGGAAACCATCTGGGAAGGTTTGCAAATGACGATCGCAGGATCCTTGCAACCGGCGTAAATGCTTGCCAGTTGCCAAGAGTTGCCAAATTTTGATCACATGACTCTGGGGGCGGGTGCCATGACAGTTGTTAAATGCAAGAACCGGTTGCAAGTCACTTTTTTCTGGGCTGCTGTAACTTCAACTGGTTGCTAAACAATCTGTCAACTCATAAAATATTTCTCTGGTCTTTTTAGAGTTGCCGACAGAAAGGGAGGGGGGAGCAGTGCGGCAGCTTGCAATCCGGAACTGCATTCCATCAATGTTTTTCAAAGATAGTAACGAGGTGACTGAAGTTTCTGCCCCGCAAAATTCTAACCTGAGAACATGATTGATGACTCTTGGCTATGGATGTGTCCCATTGGAGAATATGAATTAGGATACGGGGAAAAACCAGGGTC